AAAGACATGGCTTCATAGTTTGTCATGTAGTAGCCTGTGTGGATAATTACAATGCTTTTAGGTAATATTCTTCATGCAGTGATGTAGGATTTGTTAGCACACCACTTTGCAAGTACCCTCTTGTTTCTTTACTTTTTTACAATTTAATCCTACTACTTTTCCATTTTTAATGTTTTTTATTTACTTGTTTCCATTCTTTTTTCTTAAATTTATAAATTAGACTTTGTTATGATTATGTGGTTAGGTTAATTATATTCATGCTGATCACGTGCGCATAAATTAAAATGGCGTCAAACCACAAACCCATGCGGTGCTGCAGCTGGAATTTGTCTTCCATTGTTCTCTGTCTTCGCTTCTTTTTGAAGCCACATGTCCAGTCCTTGACCCAAGCTCAAAGGAATGATGTAAAAGCCAACTCGAGCGGTTCCCTGGCTTAAAAGATTTCCGTGTTGATAGAAGAAAGATGAAAGAAGAAAAAGTCTGAAGAATTTTGCAGAAATTTGAATTTGGGCCTATTCTCCAAAAAAGCTCCCGCTACAGTACAGTCCACTTAAAAGGTACCAGGAGAATCGCTCAGTGAAGGAGAGCTCATCTAAGCCATTGATAAGGCTGTACAGTGTAAGATAAAAGAGTTATAAGTGTTTGAAAATCATAAAAACGGCCGCCATCTTGAAAAACCTACCTCAATCCTACATATAGGCTACCGCCTATATAATAAGAGTGTTTTATTTACATGTACATTGTATATTCACAAAAGTCACTACATTTGGACACATTCTAAATCTCTAGCACCAGGCCCATGCACATGTACATGTAATGTATGTATATGTCTACATGTACCTACAAGAGTGATGTTTGTTTATGTTTAGTTAAACCATATCAACTATACTCGGCCTTTTGATGTTCTTCTACAGATTTTAAATTACAGCCACCATACATATATTTAAACAACCTTTTTGTACTTCTTACCAGCTTGACTTTTTACCAAGCTTTCTATGCTCCTATATTGTGCATTTTACCTTTGAAATCTAACTTATTCTAACACTTGCATCTTTTTTTTCTCACAACTGTTGGCATAAAAACGTTTTGATGTACATGCACTTTCCATTTTTATAGCTAAATTCTGAGTTGTCACAACCTATGCTACCCAAATATTCAAGAAAAAGTCAAAAGCAGCAACCTCATTCCAAAGCCATCACTTTAGCAAGGCAGTTGTATATGTTGGATGGTTTCAAAAAAAGTGAAGTGGCTGCAAAATTGGCTGACACGTTAGTTGTTTTTAATTACTTTGTATGTTATGACTTCATTACTGCAGTTCAGACTTTGGACGTGCAACAGCTCACGAGTATTTAAAGTTTTTTGATTTTGAAGAGCTGGAGTTAGATGAATGTCTGCGTCAGTTTCTTGCTACATTCACTATGTCAGGAGAAACTCAAGAAAGAGAAAGAGTGATGATGCATTTTTCTGAGCGGTACTTTGAATGTAATCCTTTTTCTTATGCATCTAAAGGTATTGATCATTAAATTGAATTGTTCTGATCTATTGCTATAGATACAGTACATGGAATCACATGTGCCATACTTTTGCTGAATAGTGACCTACACACTGATGTATGTTTCTTGATTAATTGTACATTGTTGTACTTGTTCTTATAGCATGGAGGATCGAAGATGACCTTTAGCCAGTTTGTTTCAAACTTGGAGCAAATTGGAATTAAGTTACCTAAAGATAAATCTAAGGTTCATGATTTTGGTTGATGTCACTGATCAACTTGTCTTGTTGCATTTAGAGAATATATGAAAGTATTAGAAAGAACCCACTTGAGTCTGGATTGTTAGTAATGTTCAATTGTTTGTATGAATTGTTTTGCGTCTTTTAGTGATGTTGTTGCTGAATCTGATGAAGTCAGTGCTGCAGAGGATGAAGAAACTCGATTATATCATGTATTAATTCCTGGTACATTTGTAGAGGTTAGTGTAGCAAGAAATTTTCATGGCCCAAAATTTTTACAAATTCATCCAAAACTTTTATTTGTAATTTCAATTTTCACGATTTTCTGGCTTTGGCCATGTTGAACCATATTAAATTGATTATTGTAGATTTTTGTGAATTTTGAATCAGTCTGGAATTGCATGAAAATTTTGGGCCACCAAAGCTTTTAGGTATATGGTATAGCTAGTCTTTAAATTTATAAAAATAACAATTTTAAACAACATATGATTCAAGTACACCACAAATTTGGCCCAAGTTAAAACTTATTTTCGTCAAAAAAAATTTGTTACAGGTCTCTATAAGTTCCATAGCATGGGAATACAATCAAACATCTAAAATGAACCCCTGATTAGTGGCTGACTGGGCTCCTCTCTATAATGCACAGTTGCTCCTGTCCCAGCCATAAGAAGGCCATTGGGTATTGTGTTAAGGAGTTTCTGTATAGCAGAACCTCTCTATTCTTTGTAACAGGCAACATTTACTGTCTCCCAAACATCTCATGTACACGTGTACAAATTAATAAGACAAACACAGCCCATACAATAGATTTTCTAATTAATGCACATCAAAAATGACAGTTTTTTGTATAATCAGCGCAGATGAACCTCTGATTTAAGAACACCTCCATTTAAAACGACAATGATGGCTGCCCCATACGTGTTAGTATTAACAAAGTTTTGATTGTAGTGGATATTAATTTCAAAGATGAGACATGACTTAAGTATTTAGTGAAGCTTGTCAAATTGTTTTATTAAAAGTACATCATGTGGTATTGCTTTTCTTTTCTATCTTGCAATTTTATGATGATCGAATGATTCAAATCATAAGGCAGAGTTAGGTAATGTATATGCAGGAACTTTTGTGTCAGACTTACCATGTTGTTACCCTTCAATTTATTGATTGTTTTTGTTCAATTAATTTTCAATACAAATAGATGTCAAACAAAATATTTTTTGCTGAGTTTAGAGTCAGCAAGGTAATCTAGTTTGTGAATGTGTGTGTCTGTGTCTGTGTGTGTTCCTGTGTGTTTGCATGCATGTGTTGTTATGATGACAAGTTTTATTGAACACCATGCTACTTCTTAATCAGTGTGCTGTATGTTCTTATAATTTTTATTTATTTAATTGCTTTGACAGCTGTACATGTACATGTACATGTTGCTTTTTTTATTCAGTCATATTAATGTTCTACTCAGTTACTATCAAAAACTTTTAACATTCAAACAACCTTTGTAATGCAAGTTTCATTTCATGTTTCCACTTCACAGTATTAATTTTGACCCTGTGTTACGTTTTGTTATGCACAGGTAGAGCTCCCAGAATCTGCTCCTATATTTAAGGAGGGCTACATTAGAAAGAAAAATATCATGGATGCACCACATAAAAAAGTTCCACGTGGGAAACGACAGTGGAAGCCTTATTATGTATTCCTTAAGGGATTCCTAATGTATTTTGTGCCAGTAAGTTTATTTGTTGCATATAAATGCACATGTATGTAGATACAATGTACATGCATTATTTTCTTTTATTTTAAAGCCTGGTGGTCAGCTACAGTTGACTGATACCTCAAATGCAGTAGTCATCACACACTGCTTGGCAATGACAGCAGCAGATTATCACAAGAAAAGTGCAGTCATTAGAGTTACAACTTCAGATTGGCATGCTTTCCTTCTGCAGGCCAAGTTAGTGGAGCTCTATTTTGTTTTGTTTTTAACTCTGATTAGTGATTTTCATGATTCACAACAGTGGATTTTGTCCATCAACAAAGCTGCTGCAATATATTCAGCACCTCCTTTAGCAGCACCTATTGGCTCCAGGTACTGCCTTCATGGTATTACTAAAATAATATTTCGTGACTTGTAGCTCTGGCTTTCAAAGACCCACTTTTCCATTGGCTCCAACAAAAAATACAGAGGTAATATAGATAATGTAGAGAGATGATGCATTCCCTTATAGGAACAGCAAAAGCAGTATTATGAATCAAAAGTAAGTTTTTTATGATGGACTATGCCTTGATTATGAATTTTCGGCATGTCATTTAATTTTACTCAAAGGCTAAATCTATTCAGAAAGAACTAGAGGAGCATCAAGCATACAAGGCTACTGCTACAAAGAATAAGAAATCAAGTGTGAGTTTAATGTACAACACGTAACGGTAAATGTATTCAAAAAAAATTTTAGATTTGGTTTGAAAAATTGGAGTTTTTACAATTTGAAGTGAGTTAGTATTGTTATGTCACTCATTTTATACATGTCCACTGCAGTTTAATCGATTTCATATATATCTTGGCTCACTACACTCTGATGTGGTTGATTTTCAAGGACCACTACCTACAGGACTTGTTCCTTCACCTTCTATTAGCACACTAGCTACTACAGGAGTGTCAGATGAATTAGCTGCAACAGAGTTTAAGCAAAGAAGTAGAGATAACTCACCATTTCCAGACTCTGCACCTAGGCGAGCAAGAGACCTTTCACCTGCTTATAATCCATTTCCAAGGAAAGACTCTGATGTGACTTCTGGAGCAATTAGAAAAAGAATGGACACTAGTCATAGATAGTAAAATGAATTAATATAAATATTAGGATTGTGTGTTATTATTACATGTATCTTGTTTGTTGTGTAAATTTTCATCACATACAAAATTATTATTTTTAATGTTTATTTTATCTTGCAAAGTAGATTTCTGCACATAAAATTGAATTTTACATTTTCATGATGTATGCTGACAGTACAATAAATTACCTACAAATGTATATGTATAGTACCAATTAAAGTACACTGAAAGTTGATAATTAATTTTCATTATCCATATTTATTTTGAACACCATTGAGTCTTGAATATTATTTGGCACAATGTTTGTCATCTTCACTATGCAATGGTGCTTCAACAGTCTTCAAGACTGGATTTTGGCCTTTAACCCAAACAACATACGGGAAGCCATAGTATTCTACATTGGTATTAATGTCGGTCCAGTTTCTAACAGTTCCATAAGCTCCGACAGCGCCCTTCATGATTAACACAGTAATGAGAAGAACTAATACTACT